CTAAAACTTTTCAGAACTTTTTATCAGACATTTTATGTTTTGCCACGCTAGACTTCCGCTAAAACTTTCAGACCTTGCTCCGACGTGAGTCGGATAATAAATTATAACCGTTTTATGTATCAGTTTTAAATTCTAACGGTTTTCAGAAGTTATGTTTTTTATGGTAACCCCCGAATCAGTTTCGCAAATTAAGAAGTTAGTTTATTTATTTATTTATTCAGAAAATTTGCGAAAAATTGCGTACTCTGATGCATTAGAAAGTCGGGGTGTTACACCTTGTGAGCCATTTCCACCATACATTGGCCTCACCATCGATATAATAAGCGGCATACCTGACGCGATCTGTACCGTCGGTTTCATTGAGCTCAAAATATTGCATTGCCCTATTGAGCCATGCATCCGGATCACTGCCCGCGAACGTGGACAACGTGATGCGCGGTTTGTCGGGAGCACGCCGATCGCGGTATGTGGACACCTGGGACTGCCGATCGAGGTCGTCCTCGCGCTCATATTCCTCGCGCCGCCGATCCTCTCCTTCAGGCCGCTCGCGGTCGCGCTGTCGCACCTGATCGCGTTGCCGCGGCGGTGGCAGGCGATCGAGCACCGTGCGCGCCATCTCATCAAATCGTCGGTTCATGGTTTCCATTAGATCTTGCACCGTTGACTTGTTATTGTCGAGTCCTTCACCCAACGTATCAATTGCTTCGCTCATGCCACGGAATTGGACATCGAGATTATCGATTTTGTCCTTCATCTCCTTGTTGGCCATGGCATTTTTTTCTTCTCTCCGCTCTTTGCTTTGTGGACTCGTGGTTGGGATGATGATGATGATGATGATGGACGAAAATATGTATGTATATATATATATATATATTTTGAATAGGGAGGACGAAAAATCGAAAAGAAAAAGAAAGGGAATGGGATAGAAGAAAAACACATGATCAACACCTCTCAATGAAAGCACCAATGTTGAGGATCATGTGTTTCGACTGCCGATAAGCCGCTAACCCGCGCCTTGAATCGTCAATAGTGTTTCTCTAGCCACAACCGCGCCTATCTAAACGAGTAAAATTGCAATAGTATTCTGGTGAAAAGACTATAGCAAAGTTGGAAGAACAAAGTTCTAGATTTCTATTGACTTCTTGGATGATTAAAAATAACATGGGGTAAGGGCCTTTATATAGGCACAAAAGTATATCTAAGCCTAATCTACCTAGGGATCAAATAAAGCAATAAAATATTAAGTAACCTAAACAATCTAGATCTCATAATGTAAGATGGAAACAACTTGGCTTGCACTCCACTCAAACTCTCTCTCTTCGGCCCCTTTCACGCGACCGCCCTACGCCCAACCGCCCGCGTCGCCTAGTCCTTGCGACACTAGGGCGTGCTGTCTCAATGCGCGCGTGCAGCGGCGCCCAACGTGCGGCACACGCCATTGCTGCTTGCGCCGCCCTTTCGCGCGTGGTCACCCGTCAGTCCGTACTCCTCGAGGACTGCGGCATCGCGCCCCGCGCGTCTGATACAGAAGTGGAGTTTGAGACCGGAGAGGCTTGTGGACTTCGAAGGCTGAAACGCAAAAAGTGCGCATCGACCCTTGATGCGCACCAATGGACGGGTAACGAGTACGCGGGAGTAGGACGAGACGCGAGCGGATGCACGCACGTATGGTATGGGCGCGCGAGGCCTAGTCCTCACGGGACTAGGCATGGCAAGGGGACGACGTGCACGCGCAGGCGGGACACGGCAGGCGCGGCA